CCCCCACCCACACCTAGAGGTGTTAGCCGCCGATTTTTCGCCGCCGCCGCCGGTAAAATTTTCATCCGCCGCCGCCGAATAGAACGTCTCGGCGGGAACTGTTCCGCCGCCGCCGCCGTTCGAGTGAAGGGTCACAGTTCAAGCTTCCTCTTTTCTAGATCATCACTTGTTGATAATAATCAGTAATATCTCAAGTTTGATCTATGTGACAATTAGAGATTGCTGAAACCTACAGAACTTTTAAAAAATAGGAATTAGTGTATTTTTTCTTGGATGATATATGGTCTGAAAACCGAGCTGATAAGAAAATATGTCTCCTTGTGATTTTGTGACGCTACCATATTTATTAGGTTTTCATTTGCATTATTCCTTCATGCGCAATAGATTCATCGCTATTATTTTCTTCGTTTCGCGATTTTTGACTTATTTAGTATGCAGTTTCGACTAACTGTCTAGTTTGAGTTCGAATATAGATGTAACTAACATTGCGATTTGAATTCGAATTCCAATCGACACTCTCCTACCAGTTTAGAAAAAAGAAAACTATTTAGTTTCAATTTGAATTCAAATAATCAATGAAAACAAATCTTGCTCTTTTTCTTCACTCACAGAAAAGTATCGATTTGAATTTGGATTCAAATTCTAATTTCAATGTTAGTTTCACTTATGATCTAATTCGAGCTAGCATAGCGATGGCACATTATCTTTATTTTACTTTGAAAAAGTAAAGTAAAGTAGAGTAAAGTAAAATACTATAGTTCGAATGTGGAAAATAAAGTGAGATAAAGTTAACCAAACAATATTTTTTATGTATCCATAAAAAATCGATATTTTTCGGCTTTACTTATTTTTTTTCACACTAATTTTAAGACGAAACGATATTGAAAAAACTTTGATACGTTCTAAGATTATTTCTACACGATCCTGAACTAAGAAATTGCCAAAAAATTTAAAACATACAACTTCATTTTTTTCATTTTACTTTACTTTCCTTTTTAGGTAACGTATTTAACTTTATTTTAACGAGTAAAGTAAAGTATTTAACTTTACTTGATCGGGTAAAGTAAAGTTCTAATACTTTACTTGATTTGGTAAAGTAAAGATAAAGTGCCAGCCATAAGCTATCATGCTTGAATTTAATTTTTATTTTAGATGGATAGTCACATTATTGCCATTTTGGCTTATATCATGAGTTCTTGTTGTGTGGTTTGAAGTTATTTTATGATGAGACAATGTGAATTTTTTGAATTAATGAAAATAAAGTTACATCTAGTGGAAAAATTTTTCCATTAAAAGACATGAGCGTACTAAGAAGAAAACAGCGTTATAATTCTATGAGAACAGAACGCCTAATGTTTGTCTTAACGGTAAGGATCTACGAAAGACCCGAGTAGTGTCACATATCCAAGATTTTGGAGATGCCACCACATCTCCCGTGGGAGATGCCGCGTCTCCCCTGGAGACGCGACACCCACACTCGAGAGATATGGTCATTCACCACTGGAGATGTAAGATCTCCTTTAGAGATGCGCATCCCCCACACCCACACCCGCATCTCTCGCGCGAGATGCGGCATCTCCCGCGGAAGACGTGGTGGCATCTCCAAAATCTTGGATATGTGACACTGCTGCAAATTTCATACATATTGTTATTCTCTCGAAGTGGTCTTTTCTTGAGCAAAAAATCGATTCAGGATTAGAAGAGATTCATCTCTAGCTATAACCTTAATTTTACCTTATTGTCTAAAACTGTATTAGCACCATCACTAAGATTAAGCATCAAAAGGCGCTGAGACGCAGGGTTCTCCAAGCTTGCACTTTCCTCCTCGCAATAAATGCTCGCTTCATACAACGATAAGGGATGGGGCAAAAGTTTTGCATTAGTTTTATTTTCATTCTCATATTGCGCACAAACATTCTGTAGGTTCTATTATTATTGTGTTAGAAAGAGGATAATCTAAAGTACATATTTACATTTTTCTTTTCGTCTCACATATGCTTGTCTTCTAGAGGAGAAAATAAAAGGAAAGAGAAGTACTATCATTATGTGTTGTAACTTTCTGATGAATATTTTGAAGAAACAAATCTCTCAGTGCTTTGTGTATTATCCTTTTTTACTTTAGTTTTTAGATTTGAATGTATTAATTCGTCGCAGTTTTAGAACACGTTAGATGTTCTCATTTCGATCTGATTAGTATAGCATACAGATCAGCATTAAATCTTCGAAAAAATTGTTCTTCTGAGAGAAAAGCGACAATCCCGTGAAAAATCAAAAAAAATTGCTATTTTCGAAAATGCTGCTCATTCTTTCCAACGAACATGACATAGTTTTCAATCCATAAAAGATATTTTAGTTCAATCAATCATTCTCTCTTGCCGCGAATCTCATAGAACATCGTTTAGTAAAACATTCAAGTCTAAAAGTTGAAGCGAAAAAAAAGATAATACATAAAGCACTGAGGGATTTGTTTCTTCAAAATATTCATCAGAAAGTTACAACACATAATGGTAGTGCTTCTCTTTCCTTTTATTTTTTCGTCTAGAAGACAAGCATACGTGAGACGAAAAAAATATGTAAATATGTTCTTTAGATTATCCTCTTTCTAACGCAAGAACAATAAAACCTATATAATGTTTGTGTGCAATATGAGAATGAAAATAAAATTAATGCAAAAATTTTGCCCCACCTGCTAGATGTGTTCGACGTATATTTGCTGTGTACATGTATAGAGATCAAACATTATTGAAATCTTCATCAGTACTTCAGTTCGTTAAAGCAGAATCTCCTAAAGTAAAACCATATTTCTTAAAAAAGTCGACCTTGTTGCACATAAATCAAAAACTTTTCAGAGTGGGCTCAACTTTGACTCGGATAGGCTCAGCCCATCCTAGCCCCCCCCCCCCCTTGCGCCGCCACTAGAAGTTCTACGACAGACTCTGTATGTATGGCAACATTTTTACTGCAGATGTCATGCGGTTGTAGTTTTTTTTTCGTGGGAAAATTTGTAAGGCAGATTGTGCAGGGGAAACTTTCAAGTAAAACGAGGAAGGGAGATAAGATCACATATTGATCCACGGGCATCTTGATAGCTCCGCAGTCAATAACAGACATTGACCGAAAAATCTCAGCGCACAGAATATTTTAGCTCTATTTTCGCTGGACTTTGATTGCACAGTCGTAAGTAGTTTTATTTTTTTTCCCTGTATACTTGACTTCATCAAGTGTCTTCGGATTGTGTCCTCTGTTGACCGAGTCTTCCGAATTCGTTCAACCGCAGAATGGCTTTGGATATGATACTAGTCAAATGGTTTGGACCATCAGAATACTTGTTTAGGATCGGCTGGAACAAGATCTCGTGGTGGGCTACTTCGGTCCAGTGATGCGGCGAATCCATTTGCAAAATACTTGAATCATGATCTAAGATATCGTGCATCTTCTGCATCTGAATTCTTTTCAGCTCTAGTTTACAGTTCTTGAACTATCAACGGATCGTATTTCTGATCAAACAAATTTTGTTTTTGTAGGAGGATACAGTATGCCTTCAGTCGTTGCCCTGACACTCGCGTGCTCATTGAATTCGCTTTCCTTTCGACTGACGTGTCAATATAATCGTCGCTCGAGGAGAAATTATTTTTTAAATCATTCGATGAAACTGGCGAAGCACTACGAGTGTAATACAACGAGATTTCTGTCATTCTGAAATTTTCCACGTTTTTTTTTCTTTGTGATTTTATTATTTCTTCGAATCTATTGGTCGACCACCATACTGCTTCGTCGAGTGATTTTGTGGGATCGACTTTTGTCGCTCCGACGGTCCACACAGGATTATTCTCTGCTATTCGAAATATGGAAATGAATAGTGCGTTCAGTGATTTTCTTTATACGGGCTATTTCGACCATCTTGCTATTGCCTCCTTTTCAGTAGTGTGGGATGATTTATCGCCTCTTGGATGCACAGCTGTTGTCAGAAAAATTAGTCATTCCAACTCGCACAAAACATGTTTACGCTGACGTGCAATAGCCAATTGTTTACATAGATAGCGCCTAACCTTCTAGAGAATTCTCCAACGATACCTATTTAAAGTTGAGGAGAAAGATCTTCTGAAAATTATTATATTCATCGGCAATTATTTTCGTACTCTGCTGTGTCTATGGAGTAGTCCAAAATGTCGGTTAGCCAACAAGCCATATTTACTCATGACCCACGAAAAAATTTTTTATAAAAGTTTGCGTTTGAACCCCAACTTTTAGAAAAAAAACGCTATTTTCCCGTTTAAACACATCCTGTCCTATTTTCAACGCATTGAATCGCATCCTCGCCAATTCATAACGCGTTGAAACGCATCGTTTTTATTTGCAATGCGTTTTTCAACTTAAAACATCAACTGAAAACAACGTTTGAACGCGTGAT